CAAAATGCAAACATGTATTTATTTATTAATTAAAAATATTTTTATTAATTAATTATTAAATAAATTTATTAAATATTTAATTCTAATATAATATAATTAACTCACCTCACCTCCAACACCTCTACCGGTCCGGGGACTATTCCGATGACCATTTCGACCACCACTCTTCTCCGGCGACTATTCCGGCGACCGTTTTGGCGACTGCTTCAATTTCGACAATTATTTCGGTGACCGTTCCACCGCAGCTTTATTCCGACGATTGCTCCGATTTCGATAATTTATACAATATGGTCACACCTTCACAATTTAGATAGTCACATTATTTTTCAGTCACAAATAATAATTTTTATACGTCACATATTATTTTACTGTCACAGTTCAAAAATTTTGTAGGTCACAATTAATTTGTTGATCACAGATTTGAAAATTAGTTGGTCACAAGTCACACAGTCACAGATTTCCAAATTAGTTGATCATAGATTTTTTCACGGTCATAGATTATATAATTTTTAGGTCACAGATGACAAAATGGTTGGTCACGGATTATATTTTTAATCACAGATTACTGAATTTTAAGGTCACAAAAAATCAAAATCACCAGATCCACCACATCTGCACTATCGCCACGACCACTACAAACATATCACACCAGCTCATCACCAGACTCACCACTATCGCCTGTATCCTACCTAAATCCACCAAGCCGCCACCACCATCGTCGATCGCACAGTCGACACCTCTACCAGCAAAACCAACAATACCCAACCCACAACCTCCAACATAACCAACGTCTCCAACGCCTACATGACCATCACCAGAAACCACCACAGCCACCAAGACCAAAACCACGGCCAAACCCCCACCCCACCCCACCAAACACACCCAACAATGCACCACTCCACAACCTCACCAAAATCACCGTTGATCCGCCATAGCCACCAACACATTTACCTGCACAACTAACAAAAATACCTAAAACTCCTAAATACCACCACACCAACACCACAACTGCACCCAACCGCTCACAACAGCGTCTGTCGGCGATGGTAGGAGAGTGCCGCCGTTGCTCACAGCGACATCTCTGCCGTATTCTCCGACGACGACGCGAGGAAGGACAACACAGAGAGAGTGAGAGAGACGAGAGAGAAGAGGGGGGTGGGAAGAGACGATTCTGTGGAGATGAATGAGAGAGAGGATTGGAAATTAGGTTTTAGCCCTCGTTTGACACCCATTTTTTCTCATTCTCATTTTTTTCTTTCTTCATTTCAACCACACATTCTATTAATAAAATAATACCACACATGAACCCAAAAATTCTCATTACTTTTTAACCACACATTCTTCCATCAATCACTATTTCAAAATTTATTTTTTCTCTAAAATG